GGGCAACCACTTGGTTTTCTTAAGTTGTCCCCTGTGGGTCCGGGCAGTTCAGCTCCATTTCTCTTCTGGATAGAGTCCATAAAATTGTGCAGCAAGCCTTTCCTGATTGGATAAATATTAATCACCATTTTCATCTACCTTGAAGGTGCCTCCGTGCCAGTTGGTCCCTGAAATACTTGGGCAGGAGAAGAAGAGAGTGGTTGTAATGCAGACAGATAGCCAGATGGGAAGTCAGCCACATACACTAACAGGCAAATAGACACAAGTAATGATTGTCCCGCAGCAGAGGGACGAGCCAAAGGCAGGAGGTATCTTTGGCAAATAGTCATGAAGACTCAGAAAGTGACAATAACACAAAAGGAAAATAGTAGTGTGAGTACTAGCGTTCTAAATGATAGTTGGAAGAGGGAAGTAGTCAGGCAGACAGACGGATAGATGGGAAGTCAGCAACACACACTAAATGATAGTTGGAAGAGGGAAGTAGTCAGGCAGACAGACGGATAGATGGGAAGTCAGCCACACACACATCGACAGACAAATACCAACACCGAGTGAGTCGAAGACAAGACATGAAGGCAATGTCAAAGGCAGCTGGTTGCCCCGGCAACAGAAAAACAATAATAACTGTAATGGCAGGGTTCATAATGATCTGAATAATTATGCTAACTTAAAACAAGAGGAAAAAAGAATCATGAAGCTAACTTCTTCACTTCGTGGGTATGCTGTGTTGCTCGTTTTCCATTCCCCACGTCAATAGTGCTGCATTGGGATCTGCACTAGGCCCAGCAGGACTTGGGGCAAATAAACGTGGCGCTAACCCAGCCGTGGCGGTCCCAGCAAACAAACAGCAGAAGTCAATTGCATCCATTGCAAAGCAGCTGGTTAAGGCTAGGTTGGCAGAGGCTGGTCTTCAAAGGAAGTTGAGGGTGAGGGCACCACCATTCTACTCTGCCGTTTATCTTTTTCCTGTATTCAAGAAAATCACACTGTTTTTCTGCAGAGCCAAACTTTTGTCTTAAGCTTGTGAGTTTTAATGTGCTTATCTTCCACGTAGTGTTCGAACTTGAGTAGACAACTGCTATCTTCTATGCCTCTCTATCGGTAAAGGACAAAGAGTTTAAAAGACTAACAGCGCCCGCTGGGCCCAAGAGAAAATCAGGTGCCAAGCGGCACGAGGCCCCACGGCATTTCCCTTTTTCTTTTTTGTCGTGGTGCATGTGATGCATTGTTTGGGAAATTTGCGAAATATCCCTGAAAGATGAACGAAATGCTAGAATAGCCATTAAAAAAAAAAAAAAAAAAGTTTGTACAAAAGTGAAGAATCTTTTGTATTGTACCCCTCTCACGCGGGTGTGCAAATTGTTGTACAGAAGTGAAGAATCTTTTGTATTGTACCCCTCTCACGGGGGTGTGCAAATTTGTGCCCTACCCCTCACTGCAGATGACCAATTGGGCCCTTAAAGAAAGTCTGCTGCTACCAGGCATTTAGAAAATTTGCACATATATCCGGGACAGTCCAATAATTCAATTATACTTGCATGGGATATTTAAATCATATTTTACAAAATTGAAAATTCGGCATTTGTCAGACGGGTATTCTGCTCCACCCACATCTTGAGGGGGTATTCTAGCATTTTCTTCATCTTTCAGGGGTATTTCTCAAATTTTCCCCTTTTTGTATCTGATGATTCCGCTTTTTACAACAAGTAAACCAATCCATTACAACCAGGAATCTGGCCTGGCATCCCTTTCCATTCCATGTAGTTGGGTGGCCCACCGAGAGGCAGCACTGGCCAAGCTCAGACCAGGGCCACAAGTCACAGGGGAAACAGGAAAACTTGAATCCTGGCAGTGCCCCGTCAAAACTTATATAATACCACCAATCCCAAAAATGGAGTCCACTGACTGAAAATTAGCCACCGCATGTGTTTGTTTAACTTGTTTGTTATCTTTTTGCCTTGTGTGCTGGTTAGTTTTCTTTGTTTTGTTGTTGTGAGGTATGTTTTTTTTTTTTTTCTTTATACTCTTTCTAAAGTTTTTTCTGGGTTAGGCCAACGTCCGGCCCAGTCGGACGGGGGGGGTCCGTCCGGCAAAACCAGACGAGCCAAAAATCATCCCAGGATTTTTTTTTATTTTTTTTTGAAGATGGGGTTGGAGTGCGCTCACTGAGAGGAGCCCGAATCCGCAGAGAAACTTGTGAAAGTCATGTGTGGGGGGGGGCGTTGCGGGGGTGGTGGATTTGACAAGGGGGAAAAGGGTGTGTTGTAGCAGCCTTTTCCTTTTTCTTCTGCTGTTTTGCCCCTCCTCCGTCCAGACCCGCCACTCCCCCCTCCAATGTCGCTGGCACCGCCCGCCATAGTGCCGTGGAAGTAGAGGATGCAAGGACCACCAACGAGGGAAAAAAGAAAGTTCAAATATCGGAAGAAGAAGAAGCAGGTGTCGCTCCCCACCAATAGATGGAGCCTCCCCGACGGTGCTAGACGTGTCTGGGTAGATCAGCACGCCTAGCATCTGATCGGGTTGTTTAAAAAAAAAAGAAAAGAAAAAAAAAAGAAAAAAAAAAGAAAGAAAGTTAAAAATAAAAACTCTAAGATTCTACATCCTTTCCAGCAGGTGTAGCTCCCCACCAATAGACCGGAGACCCCTGCAAGACAGGTAAGAGTGTATGCTCCTGTCATCACCCCTAGCTGTTGATGCTGGAGGGAGTTTCTTTAAAAAAAAAAAAAAAAAAAAAAAAAGATTCTACACGCTTTTCTTTCCTCCCCCGAGATTTCATCGTAGAACAGACCGGCCCCTGGCATTTAGTGTTGTAATATTCTACTCATCTGCTTCCAGTGGCGTTCAAACTCAGGAGGTAGATCCCGCTACCGATGTATGTGGAGTAGTGGAGTAGTTGTGTGACTCAGAAGCACTGTGAATCGGACTGGATGTCAGCGGTGTGTTTTCGTTTGTATTTACACGTGGGGACATATGTGTGTTGTCGGGGCCTCCCATTGCGTGGTATTTCTTTTCTTTCTGAATAGGTGTTCCTCTTGGGGTCTCGAATGTTAGTGAAAATGATAATGATTTAAAAAAAAAAAGAAAAAAAAAAAAAAAGAAAAAAAAAGAAGAAGAAGAAGAAGAAGAAGAATTACAAGGAGAAGAAGAAGAAGACTTAGAAGGAGGAGAAGAAGTAGTAGTAGTAGAAGAAGAAGAAGAAGAAGAAGAAGAAGAAGAAGAAGAAGAAGAAAAAGAGAGGAGGAGGAGAAAGGAGGAGGAGGAGGCGAGAAGAAGACGAAGGGAGGGGGAGGAGGAGGAGGAGAGAAGAAGACGAAGGGAGGGGGAGGGGGAGGAGGAGGAGACAAGAAGACGAAAGGAGGAGGAGGACCTGCCGATTTTGAGTTGCATTGACGGAAAAA